TTATTTATATCCAAAGAATTGCAGACATAAGACAGCCTTAAATAATTTGCCAAAAAAAAAACGTCTTTGTTTGATAAAGCACGTAGAAATATTTATTCGAAAGATTGATTGTTTACGTATGGCGGACGTAATGCCATTCCAGCAGTCTTATCATCAGACTATATGTGGAGTTGACACGTTATATACCCTACCCTAGCCATATACGGATGTTTTAATTAACATTTCCCCAGTCAGGATTGAGAACAAGTCAATGACAGCTTTCGGATACAAAAACAATTACAACATGGAGTGCATTGCTGTTTAAACACCATCCAACAAAAGGAAAATGCGGAAAATATGTCCTGATTGACGATTTAAAAATTTGAATTGCATTTTTTAAAGAAAACATTTTTCACTCCATATTTTCATTGAACAAGAAGCCTATTTCGATTAAAAGCAATTTGGGTATTTGTATTAAAATTTGATGATTTCTATCCAAATGTTCCAATAAATCAAAGCCAAAATTCACATTTGAAAATTCATTTTAATTGAACAATTTTCGATATAAATTCATTCCGTTTGTAACACCTCGAAACATATATTTTAGACGCCACAAAGTATATATATTCTTGATCAGCACAAAATTATATGTCGATTTAGCGATGTCCGTCCGTCTATCCGTCTGTGGAAAATGTAGTAGGTTGATAAAAGTTTACTCAAATGTGTATTATGTCTGCAGGACTTTTGGTATTGAAAATGGGTGATGTAGGTTCACATTTTGGTATAGCCCTATATAACGGTACCTCCCGATATTCGGTATTTTGATGATTTTAGCGACATAATTAACCGGAATTGTTTCAAATTTGATATTTGAAATTCGTAATGAATACTACAGCCTAAGACAGAAAATTGTCTGTTCAGATCCAGGTCTTCGTACAGCCCCCATATAATGGTACCTCCCGATATTCGGTACTTTGTTGATTTTAGCGACATTATTCACCGGAATTGTTTCAAATTTGGTATTTGAAGTTCGTAATGAATACTACAGCCTAAGACAGAAAATTGTCTGTTCAGATCCAGGTCTTCGTACAGCCCCCATATAATGGTACCTCCCGATATTCGGTACTTTGTTGATTTTAGCGACATTATTCACCGGAATTGCTTCAAATTTGGTATTTGAAGTTCGTAATGGGTACTACAGTCCAAGACAGAAAATTGTCTGTTCAGATCCAGGTCTTCGTATAGCCTTCATATAATGGTACCTTCCGATATTCGGTACTTTGTTGATTTTAGCGACATTATTTACCGGAATTGTTTCAAAGTTGGTATTTGAAGTTCGTAATGGGTACTACAGCCCAAGACAGAAAATTGTCTGTGAAGATCCACGTTTTCGTATAGGCCACATATAACGGTACCTCCCGATATTCGGTATTTTGATGATTTTAGCAACATAATTTACCGGAATTGTTTCAAAATTGGTATTTGAAGTTCGTAATGGATACTACAGCCTAAGACAGAAAATTGGCCATGTAGGTCCACGTCTTTGTATAGCACCCATATAACGGTACCCCCGATATTTAGTATTTTGATAATTTTAGCGACATTATTTACCAGAATTGTTTCAAATTTCGCATTTGAAGTTCGTAATGGATACTACAGCCTATTACAGATTGTCTGTGCAAGTCCACGTCTTCGTATAGCCCCCATATAACGGTACCGCCGATATTCGGTATTTTGATGATTTTAGCGACATTATGTACCGGAAATATTTCAAATTTTGTATTTGAAGTTCGTAATGGATACTACAGCCTATGACAGAAAATTGTCTGTGCAGGTCCACGGATTATAACCCCATGGTACCTCCCTATATTCGTTATTTTGATGATTTTAGCTACATTATGAAAAGATTCTTTTTTTATAGTTCAAGTTTCGCATTGGAATATTGTAATAGCTTATGACAAAAGTTGCCTTTACAGGTCCACGTTGTCGTATAGACCCTAATATACAGTTACTTTCAGTATTTTTAAGATTTTAACAGAATTTTTAACAGGTTTTATTTTTTGAAAATTGCCAAATTTGTACCAAATCGTGGACGGTATTCAAAGTTCGGCCCGGTCGAACTTACAGTTTTTTACTTGTTCACTTATCTTGCCTTCTACATAATTTTTAATTCGCTCAACAAATGTCTGATTCGCCTTCTGTAGATTCTTATTACTTGTTTGTTTCTGTACAAAAAATACATAAATAAATACATTTAATGAGGTATCCTAATTAAGAAAGCGACGACTATAAATGATTAAGAAAGAAAAAAAATATAAATAAACTAATTTAGAATACGGACATGAGTAACTGTTTGTCAGCTGTTGTCAGTAACATATTTGGCCAAGTCAGTTTCTTTTTATGAAAGCGTTTATTTATTTTATTTTTTATTTCTTATGGTTTGATATTCCTGTTCAAGTGGCCGTTCCTGCGAATAATGGCCTTACTTTGATTATTTAATCAGCAGCTATATAGCTAGCGGCTGCGACAATGTTGATGTCCCGAAAAATCTGACTTCGAATGGTTGGGCAGTTAGAATTATCGTGGCATTCGGAGGTGGTCTGCTGATGATCATTATTACTACGAGCTGATGACGTCATTTTTCAGAGCTTGTGACTCGATCCCGATCCTTTCTACCGATGTCAAGCTTTCTGGCCATCAGTTAAGACAAAAATCCCATAGCATAAAACGGACATTGAATTTCAATAGATGGTAAAGGTTGAGCCCTAGCGAGACTGGAGTATGCAAAAATATATCAACCTTTGCTTGTGGCGCTATCCTAGTTATTGAAAATTGATATACAGGGTGAGATAAAAAAACTGCAACAAAGTCAAACGCCATAATTTTTACACTTTTTTTAAATTTTATTGAATGAAAGCAAAAAATGTCGGAAATGGCATAAAATTTTACAATAAATTTAGATTTGTTCGATTTGGTCACCTTTGGCACGAATAATGGCCTTCAAACGGCCAATGAAACCGTCACACACTGCCCGAATGTTGCTCTGCGGTATTTTGGCCCATTCCGGGCAACACGCTTTCTTGTGGTGATCGACTCTTTGGTATTTTTAGTGCCAAGCTTGCTTTCCAAAAAAATTCAGACACAATAGTCCAACGGATTGTTATCCGGAAATTTTGGTGCCCATTGTGCCCTGGAAATGAAGCAAATAGAATGTCCAAGTTCTGCGGTCAAAATGTTTGCATGCCCAAGGCTTTAATAAACCCTCCAAAATATTTTCGCGATAATATTCGGCATTTATTCTGATACCACGGTCGATTAATACGAGACCATCGGCTGTTATGGCGGCCCACACCATCACCATGGCTGGCGCTTGAGTTCTGGTGGCCAACCGAAGGTGCCTCTTCGGCATGTAAACACAATCGTTTTGTTGGTTTACAAGCTGCTGGACAACGAATGTTTTCCCATCGGAGAAAACCGAAATTGGCAGTTCATCACTTTCAGTTGCGGTGTAAGTTCTTGCACTTTTTGGAATTCAATAGCTTTACCCCGAGCTCATTTTTCAATATGTGCGGAATAGAATATCACAATATGTTCAGCTCACGAGCCATTTTTTGGCCACTGCGACGCGGGTTTCGATCAAGTCGCTTCTTTACTTTTCGAACCATTACTGCATATGTTGCTGTTTTTTTCCGTCCACTTCCTTGATGCCTTGACCAATATCACGGTAGCGAGCGATGGTACGAAAGTCAAAAGATTTATTCACATTTAAATTCTGGAGTGCTCTAACGATAGCCACTTGTGCTTTTCCAGCCAAATATAAAGAAATCACACTATCACGATTGAATACCATCACGAATAACATTTTTTCTGGAAAAATGGTCCGATAAGTACTATTTTTATAACAGATCTTGTGTTAATAGAAATATTGAGATCTGCCAATTTGAATTGATTTGGATGTTAATTTCGCGGTTAATGGGCTTCATTTTTCACCCTTTGTGGGGGAGGTACCAGAAGGAGAGGATCCATTCGCCTTTTATGAGCTTAATGAATATTCAAAATTCCGACCTTTGGGGGGAGGTACCAGAAGGAGTAAACCGATGTATTCTATCTTGGCACCAGACCTTGGATTATAAAAATTATGTGGATGTGTGAAATTTCAAAATTTCGACCCTTATCTAGCACTGATGAATATATTAGGATTCGCACAGTTGGAGCAAAATCGGATTATCGTTTCTCTTTCTGTGAAAAAAATATTGTGGGGAAGGTACCAGAATGAGTGGACCGATATTTGCCACCTCCGAACTCGAACTAAGTTGGACAAAAATATAACGATGTACCAAGTATGGACCAATTCGGATACTCCCTTCGGATACTCATCGTGCGCACCAGCCAGCCAGACAGACAGATGGACGGACGGACATCGCTAGATCGACTTCAACTGCCCTAAAACAGATTTGGTCCAAAGAGACCTAGGGTCTAAAACTATTATTTCAATGATACACGTTTTGACCGTATCAAATGATATATACCCTCTCTAGCCATATGGCCGAGGGTATAAAAAATAATTTAAAGTTGTCAACATTGGTATGTACCGGTAGGTCTTGGCGACTACTTTGATTTCGTCGCTAACTTACCGACAAATGTTGTAATTTTCCGAAATTATAAGCATTTTAATTTTACCGACTTTTTGCCGGTAACTCAAAAATGAGTTAGAGAATTGCACTACATGTATCCCAAATAACTTCGAGATTAAATACTTCAACACTTGCGTTGTGGAAAGGTTTTCGACGTGGGAAAAAAATGTATTTGGTAACGCCGATTTTATTCGAGTTTGGAAGTTCTACGCTTGTAAACACATTCGTCACGCTTGCATTTTCCAACAGCATGTGTGTGTGCATGCAAATTTCAATACAATTTCCAAATTTGTATAACTCAATATTTTTTTATTTCAATAACTTTTTCCTGTAATTCCACGTTTTTTGTTAAATTGCATTTCCTTTGTCCTCTCAATCTACTTACAGATTCATAACTCGTTCACAGCGTGCCACTTCGGCTGGTATCATCAATGGTGGTGGCGGTGGTGGTGGACAGCCCTGTGATTCATCAACGTCTGCCTGCAATTCGCCCATACAAAGCGGTCGTTTATCACCGACGTTGTCGTCGTCCATAGCGCCGACAACGAGAGCATCTCCTTCATCATCATTACAGCAACAGCAACAACAACCAGATATACCTCCTCATCTTTCGAAATCGCCAACTGCTGCTGGTGCTGCTGTCCACTTGGGAAAAACTGAAAACGGCTTTGCTGCTGCAATTGGTGGTGTTAACGACGACATGACCAACAATTCTGGCCGTGGCGTCAGTGTAAAACCACCTCCAGTTACAAAAACGCCTGGCGTAGCCGAAGACAACAACAGCATCAATACAATAGCGGCAACAACAACAACAACGCCGACGACGACAACAAAGATAAAGAAAAAGTCAAATGCCTTGGATTTGATGAACAGTCAAATTCCATTAAGCGACGAGAACAAAGCCAGCAAAACAAAGGCGGAGGCAACACCGCCAGCCACCACTGGCAGCGTCAGCAACAGCAATCCGTCAAATCAGACTGGGTTAAATACTGTAGCGGTTGTTGCAACAACTCCAGCGGTCATATCAGGTAATTTTCCACCTCATATTTGTTTTGCTATCCCTCTCTCGGTTTCGTTCCAGCAACAAAAAAAAAACAGACAAAGTACTTAGCCATCGAACAGCAGACATCTGGCTGGATGGACATACTTTGTCTGTCCACCATATTTTTTGTGTTTTTAGTTGTTTTTTGCTTTTCCATGGAATGTCATGGATGGAAATCCATCCATGTTTGTTGCTTTGTTCGTTTCGTATTTATTTTGAGCCACATTTTCATTTCGTTGGAATGCATTCGCCACATGTTTATGTTCTCGGCTGACATTCATCACTCTTTCCTTTTTCCACATTATGTGTAAATTTAATAAAAAAATGAAAAAAAAAAAAAATAAAAATTTATTTTGTTTCATGTTGATTTTGTTGTTGTATGTGCTACGTTATTAATTATTGTGGCATGTTTATAGTTTGTTTGATATTTACCACCAGGTTAAATGGTTATTTGTTACTAAACAACATATGGAAGAGCACCCTGCACCCTACACAGAACATATTTGTTATCATTCATTTATCACTTCAAACATTCTGGACTATTTGTTCAGCAACTCATTTTTATTTTTAAGAAATAAATTAGTAAAGATGTTAAAAAATCGATTGATCAACTTTTAGTTTTGAAAAGTCCAAAAGTCAAAAATATTCGACGAATAACGTGTTTTATATCTTCCACCACATAATGAAGGGGTTATGTTAATTTTGTTATTCCCTATAATCATAATGTAGTCCCCTACATCATAAAATTCTATTTCAAGTTATCCATGATTGTCCGTCTGCCAAATCAAAGTCCATTGCCCGTATAATATTTGGTATTGAAAGTGGGCTATAGGTCACCGATTTGGTATAGTCCCCACATTTTAGCCATATTTTGTATACCCTCAACCATTTTATGGAAGGAATACTAATGTTAGACCCTACAGATTATATATATACAGGGTAAGATAAAAAATCTGCAACAAAGTCAAATGCCATAATTTTAAATTTTTTTTGACATTTTATTGAATGACAGCAAAATATGTCGGAAAGAGCAATTTTAGAATTAGTTTACATTTGTTCGAATTGGTCACCTTTGGCACGAATTACGGCCTTCAAACGGCCAATGAAACCGTCACACCCTGTCCGAATGTTGCTCTGCGGCATTTTTGGCCAATCCCGGCGAAGCGCTTGCTTGAGGTGATCGACACTTTGGAATATTTTAGTGCCAACCTTGCTTTCTAAAATACTCCAGACACAATAGTCCAACGAATTGGTATCCGGAGATTTTGGTTGCCATTGTGCGCTGGAAATGAAGAGAGGAACCTCATTTTGTAACCATTCTTGGTTGGCGCATGCAGAGTGCGATAGTGCTGATCTGCGGCCAAAATGTTTGCATGTCCAAGGCTTTAATACACCCTCCAGAATATTTTCGCGCTCTCAGCTCTCATATATATATTTATCCGATTTGATGTTTATTGTGCACCAAATAGCCCAAGTTGACTGAAATTTGAAATTTGGTGAAAATCGGTTCAGATATAGCTTATTGTACTTGTTTCTTTTATATTAAGTTTGTCAGAGCCTGGACCAGGGCGATAAAGTCAAAAGGGGTTTAACATTATTTTCCATGCACCATTGCTCCAAGATCGCTATATTATGCATCGACCTGCTTCGCTTTAGAATTACCCAGAATTGTCTTAGAGATTGGTAGCCCAGAGTTCTAGGTTCCGCACGTACCAATGCGAAGACCAGCTATGTGGGATGCACTTCCCTCTTGATTAGGTGTTGTTACGCACCAAGGCGGTATCAAGAGGTAAAGCTGAAGTTCGGCGACACGCCAATTTCCAGTACTAAGATTAGCATTCTGTTTCTCAATCAGCTTCATGATCTCCTTCAATTCCATAATATGATGTGAAATCCAGATCAAAGTCATAATTCCGCATGGAATCTCACAGATTGGCACGCCGGCGACTTTACTGCCTTCCCCAAGGGATTCGAGCAGAAACTAGGATATCTACAGATTCCTTATTTTTCCATTTAATGACCCTGGCTCCCTTATAGATAAAAGCTCAGCCAATCTGTGCGACCTCATCCAATAGGTAGATGAGCCGGATCATCCCAGCTATCAGCAGCCAATGATATTCGCTGATGGGGTCAATCTGATCAATAACCGCTATTTTCAGATCATCCGTTCTATTAAGCAGATGGATGATTCTGCTTCGGTTTTGAGTCGGAAATCAGCAGAACCCGCTTTCGCCTTCCTACTAGTGGGCTTCCCACTAAAGCATACGAGACGTCGCCACCACTTTCTTCCCCTTGGCTTGCTGTTTCTCAGTAGTTTGTAGCCACTGATCACCTTCGATTGACAACTCAGCAGACAAGATATCTTTAGCCTTCGTTGTAGGTAACTCTGCCTCTGTCCACCTGTTGTCCACCACCTTCTCTCCGCGGTAACGGGTTGCGATGATGAATTAACTCTCCTCTTCTTCTTTTAATTATTATAACTCCGGTACCGTCAATTTGACCAAAGTCCTTACCATCCCTTTCTTTGGAGGGTGGTACTTCCGACTCTGTCACATCAGAGGTCTTTTTTGAAGGCTTCATTGTCATAGTTTCTTTTAATACAACATTTCCAGATGAGCAGGGGCTTCCCGCAGGCATTTGGGGCTTTGCGAGGTTTCACCACTGTTCTGATCCCATAATGTTGCGTTAGGATACGTTTTCTCGAACTTCCTAATGAACTTCAGGTTCAGGTTGCGCTGGGACTTTTCAGATCGACTACCTTGGCAGTCAAGCCTTGACTAAAATCGCTAATACAATATTGAGGCAAAAAGTCAAAAGTTGGAATAATATTAGCTTTCGTAAGGTGTCTGATTTTCTTAACACTTAGCACATCCCAATATTTTTGACGATCTTTTTTTTGCAAAAAATTAGAAATGGGCATTTTGAAGTACATTTTTGAGAATATGCACCAACAAATCATATCATATTGTTCCTTTCGCACCGATCTTCTTAGCTCAGACTACCAGAAACACTAAAGCTAAAAACATATTCACACCCATATAACAAATTAGCAAACGAAAGCTTCACTCGCGTGTAAAAACAAACGAACCTGAGCTCAGGGTACGTCGTAATATTTAGATAAGACTTAGGTCAGGTTCGTAAATGGGCAATAATGACCCACTAATTCTTGTACCTCCCACAGTACCTCCATAACTTCTTTAAAGTAATAAACCAATGTCCGAATTTCTTCAAATTTTGCACTTCCCAATTATTCTATCTATAGTATGGAAATGTTATATATCACTATTCCTGGTATCTCCTCCACAAAAATTTGAATATATCTAACTTTAATCTGAAATAACGAAATGGGTATGAGTTTGCCATTATTAGTGTGCTGAAAATGGCACATACGGCTGCCAAATTTTTGCTGATGAAACTCATTGAATACAATGTTTATTCGAAAGAAAAAATTCTGAAGGGTGAAGACTTGTCGTAAGTTTAGATTGATACCAAGTACCATTATATGTGTAATACCATTTCAGATGTTCCATTTTAAAGTATGTAAACTCCGTATTTACACAACGGATTTATTTTGTAGCATTGTCTTCTATGTCTTTTATCTCTGGAACTTTATTACTTCTCTTATTTGTTTTTTCGTTTCTGTTTTATAGTCATATTTCAATTCCAATTTTTATTTACCCACATTTGTAAGCCATCATTTGAAATGAAATAGAAACAAAAACACACAACAGCCAAATACAATATTTGTTTAACATCGAGGCGTAACTTTCAATTTAAATCTTACATTTCTTCCTTCTCCTCCTCCTCCCCCCTAGCCTTTGCTGCAGTATCACATTATCACACAATGTCAATATTGAAATGTCACAAATATTTACACATTTAACGTTTATTACCGCAGTCTGGGCAAAAGCAAAGCGATGACAGGGTGTTGTAGTGTTTATTTTATTATTCTCCGTTTTTTTTTAAGTTTAAACAATGATTTGAAATTGTGGAATGCAACAGTCGCTGAGATGTCGTCGTCGCAAGACAACTGTCATATAATTTGTTTTATGGGTGGTGATAAAGAAAAAAAAAAAACAAAACACACATCAGCACAGGTTTATCGTGATGATGGAATTTATTGGGGGTTAGAAGTTCGATAGGCTTGCGTTAATTAAAAAAAAGCTAATAACCTAGCAAACTTTTGGGAGTTGGATGAGTTGAATAACCCATTCAAAGGTAATGTAAACAAACATTCGTATGCTTTACCAGTAGGGTGAAAAGAATGAGATTTTGATTAAAAAATTACAAAACAAGGAAGACCTTCGTACGTAGAAGACAATTTATAGAAGACTTCTTGCGTGAGTCTATAGAAGATTCTCTGGGTGATTTCAACATAAGTAATATCGACTTCTAGGTATAGATAATGAAGAAGACTCATTGTCGGTCTTTTTATAAGAAGAAGTACCGCTAGGTGTCTTTCTGGACCTTATCTTGCAATCTCTGTTGGGGTTTTCTTTAAAAGCTCTACTAGACTCCAATCCATTGCTCATTGAAAGCTCTCGAAATGGGCCTCTTCAACATGTAGAAGACCCTCTGGGGACTTCCGTCTGTCCATGTATTTTTGTGAACAATTTTCATTCAATTCAAAATGAGACTTTGAACACTTCATTACTTGGTTCAACGAAACTGTCGAAACCAGACCTTCGAAATGCAGGAGTACTTCTACATAATTAATAATTCTATTCTATCCTATGAGGAGGGGTACTCCAGTCAGTAAAAAATAATCGAATACACTTTTTCTATACCAGAAGTGTGCTTCGCTCGTTTTCGGGTAAAATTCGTTCAAAAACGAGCCGACACATCCTTTCCTAGCATTTTTTTTAGATTTTATCAAACCAATTACGTTGAAGAACATTGTCCCGAAACTGTAACAGAGACCTTATGGTCCACAGTGTTCATTCTAAAATTTAAGAAAAACAAGTTAAAAAGTATCACCTTCACTCC